CCTACAAGCTCGACCTCCCCCGCGTTACTCCAAGCTCCACCCCGTCTTCCCCGTTGTTAAACTCGAGCTCGCTCAGGACGACCCCTTCAATGGGACGACCCGGCTACGACGAACCGCCCCCGAACTAGAGGACGGAGTCCCCGAATGGGAAGTCGAGGAAATCTTGGATGCCAGGATAAGGTATAAGCGTCTTAACTACTTCGTCAGGTGGAAAGGCTACGATGCTTCGCACGACTCGTGGGTTCGGTTCGACCGTGTCTTCGCGCCAGACAAAATTGCGGACTTCTATCGGAGGTACCCAGGTAAACCACGGCACATCGCCTCAGCGACCTTCGACTCCTTGCCCTTCCGAACTATGCGCCGGGACGCCGCATTCAAAGGGGGGGTGATGTCAGGGGAACCCCCGCCTGGCCTCCTTCGGACCCTCCGAACGCATCCGAGGCGCATCCGACCGGGCCCCTCGGACGCTCCGACCCACCCCGACCATCGTCCACGGCCTCCTTCGCCCGCACAATCACCGATCCGTCAAGACCCTCCCAACGATCACCTTGGGACAGAGCCTGCGACGCCGCCCAGGCCTTCTGCGCTCTACGTCGGCAGTTACGGACGACCAGTATATAGTTGGCGCCCTAGCAGGCGGACCCTTAGAGTTTCTTCTCTTTGGATCCTCCCCTGCTAGGTCGGTCCCTCCGTGTATTTCCTGTAGTCTTATTCACGCTTTGGATCCTCCCCTGCTAGGCTTTCGTCGGAGTCTCCAGGGTTGCCCTTACAGCAACTCAGTCAATAGCTAACTTTGATGTGGCCTCCTGCCTTATATGGTATGTCTGCACACCATGAGCAACAGAAAATTTAGAAATTTCCCATTTGGGGCCAGTTTAGGACCTTGGAAACTTGTTGTTGTGACCTGTGACTGGCACAAGAATTTCAGTTAAAAATGTTAATGTGACTATGACAGGATTAATCAATCAAAATAGTATACTAGATGTTCCAAAGATACACTAAAATCAGGAATAGTTAAATACTTGAATATAATTGAATATTCTTAGGTGGTAATATAATGTATTCATAATATATTATATTATATTCAGGTATATTAATATTCAAGGTCTCCACTGATATCATATTATATCCATAATATTCAGAATATATTCAATATTTATTTAAAGATATTTATTTATGGCCAGCACTATTTTGTACTATGCAGGACCTCAGGCTGTGCGGATAAGATATTGAGTTTCATATCGACTTGGGATGTTTGCAGCACTATGGAGAATTTATGAGAGTTTTCAGTGGAAGCGGGCGAAGGAGGCCGAGGACGAGGGTCAGGGGTAGGTCAGAGCGTCTGAGGGGGGCACCAGTCGGATACGCCTCAGATGCGTTCAGATGGTCCAAAGGAGGCCAAAGCGGGGGTTCCCCTGACAAATACCCACTAAAACCCCCCTTTCATTTATCCAGTTATCCGGCAAGGAGTCTTCATCCAGCAGAAGTCCACTCCAAGTATTTAAAACTACATGGTGATTAATAGCTAATTTATCAAATTTATATGTATTAGTCAAGATTCTATCTTGTTGAAGTATTGAATTTATCATTGTAAGCCATCGATTATGTATTTCATTGACTTGAAAAATCTTACTAGGATTCTTTAGATGTCTTTCATTTTGCATATTCCAAATCATATACCATGCAGCTGATACTAAAATACTAAACAGTCAATCCTTATGAGGCGGAGGAGTACCTTAACTATTATGAAACTTAGTTAGATTGCATCCCAATCCTAATCCCATTCAATTTTTGGCCATTGGCTAAATTTCATACTTCAGAGCAGCTCGTTAGTTTCCAAATAGGTATTCTTTCTAAGGCTATGCATTCTAGCATAAGATGTTCTAAAGTCTCTAGGACCCTACATAGGGGCATTCACCAAATGATTGTAGGTGAGGAATATTATCCCAGAATAGTCCTACTTTAAATGTGTTGTGCATCATTTTCCACAGAAGATCTCTAATTTTACTACCGAAATGCAGTGATCTGATTGATTTCCATATAGCTGCATCTGTAACTTAATAATCAGCCACTTCCTTTAATATTGCTCTAGTTCTCTCTATATTACCAAAAGTTGACTTTCACATAGGGATTTGATAATTAGATTTGATAATCCTGGAAAATGATCTTTGTGAACCACTTTGTATTGAAATACCTGGTGTATGAAAGGTAACCTCAGATTGTGTTTCTAAGACCCATGGAGTGAAACATTCATTAGTTAGTAAGCTGGCTTTATTATCAAGAATTTTGCTGAAGCAGGTTTTCTGTGTTCTCTCTTTCATATAGGATAAGCATGCAACAAATAAATAAAGTATAGGGTTCGCCATGTCATTTTCAAGCAAATGACATTTCTTAACTAATAAATCAGACAGCAATGAATCAGTAGTATAAATATTAATTGCACAATGAGGACCAACTAGTTCAAGTACCAGCATTAGTGCCCCTAACCAGGCTGTCTGAAGGTTCAAGGGTGTTGATGTATCAGAGAAAAGAATTTTCAAATTTCTTTTTATCACCATAATCTTTAGCTGAAATCAATCTCAATGCAACAAATATTCTAGGTTTATACTCTTCTGGGTGCATAACTTTAACATTTATAAATGAATCAATATCACTGAAAGCATTTATAATCTGTGTCTCTTGTCTTCTAGCTGGTCTTAGGGACATGAAAAAATTATTGTCCACAAATATTCTACACACATTAGCTAAATCATCTGTCTTGTAATTAGGGTCAAAGGTACATTTATATTCAGTTGTGAATGGGAGTGAATTATGTAATTGCTCTTCATCTGTAAGACTCAATTTATGAATAACATCACAGAGAGGATTTCATTTATCATGAATACATAATATGAGTTTTTGGGCTATATTAATACATTTTCTGGGATGATCACATTGGAGTATTCTCCTGTCATAAGAACATGCATTACAGCCACAATTCTGTCTTAAAATACCTGACAGATTAATTGTATGTGGTTTTTGACCTACTATAGTCTCTCGGTTTGCCTCCTACCTTTTTCACTCTATGATTAAAATTTAAGCAATCAATTCTAGTATAATGTCTTAGTAAAGATTTATATGAGTTATCTTCCATAGAGATATGATATTATATAGGCATCTGCAGTTTGACATCTAGATCAATTTGTAGTCCAAATATTTTAAAGTTAATTTTTTTTGCAGACTTAATCATTCTTTTAACTTCTTCAGGTAGTCTTGTAGTTTTGGAAATAGGCAAGGTTATTGATTGTAAAAAGAGATTGATCATAGTCCCCTCAGGCTTTTGAAGATAACTTTGTGTCCTAACATTATTTATCAAACTGTCAACAAAGAAACACCAGGATGGTCTATGTTCTCCTTGAGAAAGATATATTTTAAAATTCCACAAATCAATTACTTCATATCTAGTTTCAAGATCAAATATACTTCCACCTCCTCTCTCAACAGGAAGTCTCATAGTGTCATGAGCCACCCAGAGAAATGCATGCTGAATTCTTTGCAATGTTGATTCAATTTCTTCTGGCATACCTTGAACACGTGTTAGGTATTGTGTTCGACCTGCAATGCTCATGTTTATTATATGTTGTTTGCCCTCCAGTCCAGGACTTGATAGCAAAACAGCCTAGGAACAACTGTGGAAGAAGCTCTTATTTAGTTTTTCCCATATCAGCCCTCTGCTATCAAAGTCGTGATTTCTCTATAACTAAATGTAGGATCGTCCTGAAACAAGTCCAGCTGAATAGAGACCTTTCTTTTGATACCCCATACATCATGATGGCGTAAGATTTAATGGGTATCCGGCACTAAAAAGTTATAATTTTGACAAAGTTTAGATAGTTTCTGGAAGGAAAAAATTCCCTCTTTCCAGCTGTACACTTAGTTTTTATCATTCCTATGTACCAATTTTGAGTAATACAAGTTGTCAGCTTTGATTGTCCGCAACTGTAGTATATAGTTGGCACCCTATAGCAGGTGGACCCTTAGAGTTTCTTCTCTTTGGATCCTCCCCATGCTAGGTCAGCTTCATTTGTATTCACTTACTAATGTTTACCCTTTGGATCCTCCCCTGCTAGGACCTTGATCTTAGGCCTCAGGGGTTGCCCTTACAGTGTCGTGATATTGGGGCAGAACTCAATGTTGCAGCCCCATAGCCGGGGGTATATAGACCAGCCCATTTCACATTCTGAAGCCATGATGTTGTTCTCAGCCTTTGGGTTTGCCCTCTTCCCATAGCTTGATGCCCTTCTCCTCCATGGCCAATTCGGCCTGTCGGATCAAATCCAGTAGATCGTCCCCCTTGGTGTGTTTGAGCATAAGCATGGCTCGGATCGTGTGTTTCTTGAATAGCCCTGATGGTATTTGTTCTCCAGCAGCCAGGCCTCTTAGATATCAAAGAGCTTTCAGCCTAAGAGGTTTCTTGTCTCCCCATGCATAGGGTCAATCTGTCTTGAGTATTCATGTGCATTCACTTTGCTCAAGGCCCTCTTCTTCATCACTCTTACACTCCCCATTGGTTGCACACATACTTTCAGGACCCTTTCATCATAAAATTTTATAAATTTCATTCAAAGACTACTTTCTTTTTCAACTAACCTTTGACAGCTAAAAAAATCTACTAGTACATTCCAATGTGATATTTCAATTCCATTGCCTTAACAGCTAATTGCAAAATGTCAGCCACAAAGTCAGTCACTGATCATTAGCAAATCTATGCCTCCAAGAATCATGAGGGGTATTTACTATTTACAGATAAGTCTTGAGTATTTACTATTTATCCGATTTAGCTAGATTTGAATCATAACATTGTCCTCGATCCGTGTGAGCACCAGCTGCTCCAGACGCCGAGCGCGCCAACCTAGGGTCGCACCTTCGCCAACCACGTCACTCTGTCGGCCGAAACGACCCTCGCGACGGGTCACACGATCGTTCGGGTATTTAGGCCCGACTGGTGGTTGTCTTCTCCCATGTATCGCTACCGCCCCGCACACCGCCAGCTTTCGCGCGCATCGCATTCCTCCGCGTATGACGCGACACTCGGAAACCTGCTCGTGGGGCAGCACACGCGCGTGATATTCCAGGGCTTCACGGGCCGGCTCGCGAGTGTGAATGCGGCCGAGTCGCGGGCATGGGGGACCAATGTTGTTGGTGGTGTTTCGCCGCGGGTCGGGTTCCACCAGCACCCGGAGCTCGCGCACTTGCCGGTATTTGCAACCGTCAGGGAAGCGGTGGAGAAGTTGAAACCGGATGCGACGGGCGTGTATGTTGCAGCGGGGCAGGCGGCCAGCGCTATTGAGGAGGCGCTCGAGGCGGAAGTGCCCCTCATCGTTGCGGTGGCAGAGCATATCCCGCTGCACGACATCCTCAAGGTCCTTTTTGAAAATTTTCCCGGCTACCCGCTGATGACGTACGCAGATCCACGCAATGCTCCGCTCGCAGTCCGTGTCCCGGCTCGTCGGCGCGAACTCTCCGGGACTCATTTCGCCCGCGGGCACGTGCCGCATTGGGTTCCAGCCACTGCCGTGCTTCACGTCCGGCACAGTCGGCGTTGTCGCCCGCTCGGGGACACTTTCTTACGAGGCGGCTGCGGGTCTCACTGCCGCGGGGCTCGGGCAGAGCACCTGTGTCGGGGTTGGTGGGGACGTTCTCCCGGGGACAGACATTGTGGATGGATTGAAGTTGCTCAGCGAGGACCCGCAGACAGAGGCAATTGTGCTCATTGGTGAGGTCGGCGGGGAGCAGGAGATGCGAGCCGCTCATTGGGCAGAGGGGTATAGGAAGGCGAAAGGCGCTGAGGCAAAGTGCGTGTTCTTCTGGTCTTCACTTACGGGCTGACCAATGTAGACCGATTGCTGGACTCGTCGCTGGGCGGACAGTGCATCCCGGGCCAGACCGGGTGATGGGCCACGCCGGGGCATGGCCTGCGCTGGGCGAGCCAACAGCGGACGAGAAGTTCCATGCGCTAGAAAGAGCCGGCGTCACAATGGTGGACCATCCAGTTAAGTTTGGGCGCGTAATGAAAGGCCTGCTCTCCGGAAAGCGGGGATATCACACCGGTGCCCGGCGCGCGCTACACGTGCAAGCTGGACCACTCGTCGACGGGCTACCGGGCCTGGCCACCACCGATGTTGAAGCGACGCACGAGCTTGAACTCACCGTAGACCGAACAGCGGGCTCGCCGTGCTTTATTCTTGCACGCATCTCCCCAGTCTCCCAAATCACGCGCTTCCCATTCGCCTACCACGCCGCGGCCCCTCCAACAAAGGACATTGCAGGTATAGCTGACTATCTGGGCATGCCCCAGCGCGACGTGACTCTAGCGCGTCTACTGCACACTTTGCACGACCTGTTTATCCAACACGAAGGTGTCTCCCTGCGTGTCAGCCTCGCTATCGACAACGGCAGTCTAGCGGTTAAAGACCCCAGATTCGTATTCGATGACGCTGCCTTCCGCTCCGCTGGCCGGCACGCTGCCCTGCACTCGTCCACTGTGTCTAACCCAGACGGGATGGTCTACCTCCCGCTCGGCCCTCCGAAATCCCCGGAATGCGCCATCGGGACAGTCGTCAACGGTGCCGGGCTTGCACTCAACACCGTCGACGTGCTCTCCTCCGTCGGGGCCCCCATCCAGGCAGCAAACTTCCTCGACACGGGCGGGAAAGCCACCGCCGAAACGATCGGTCATGCGTTTGGCCTGCTGCGGGCCGATAACAGAGTTAAAGTGGTGCTGGTGAATGTCTTTGGCGGGCTCACGCAGGGCGCGGTGATCGCAAGGGGCGTGGTGGCCGCGGTGCGGGAGCTCCGGGCTGCAGAGGGAGATTCGGCGGAGGCGATGCCGGTGGTGGTGCGGATCCGCGGGACGGGCGAGGAAGAGGGCGCACAACTGCTGAGGGAAGCGGAACTGAAAGGGGTGTGGGTCGAGCCGGATTTTGATAATGCGGTGGAGCGGTGTGTAGAACTTGCGAGGGAGCAGATGTGAGTAGTGAAGGACGATGGTTTTGTGACTTTTGTCATGCTTGTGATGACAAATTGACAATGACAGCTCAGTTAAACTTAATACAAGGCTTGAAGCAAGGGGGAGTTCAAGATTCTTATCAGGCACATGGGCAGGGGTAAAATATGCTAGCTGGCAGGGAAGCATTGCTTTGTGCGTCTTTGTGGATTCGGAGGACAAGATCAATGCTGTGGTAATTTTTTTTGCTTGATATTCTCTATTAACCTCACTCACAAATTCCACAAAGCCTGAGGATCGGTTCATTTCAACCATAACATGGCTTCAAGTTCCTTGCACTGCAGCACGCCACACTTCTCCCGATGCTTTCACCCAAACTCTGGTTCTCCTTTTGGGGGGGGACGCCACCTCATCGAAATACCGTGCACGACAAGGAATCGAGGCTGCCGTGGGACGAGCGGCGGTGGTACGCGGCAGGTGTGCTATTTGAGGACCCGGGAAGCTCCACCAAAGGGTGATTCAAAAATTTGGGTTTTTGAGGCCCAAAAATCGCGATTTCCTTGTCCAAAAGATGGGTTTTTGAGACAAAAATTCTGAAAACCTTCTTCAAAATATGGGTTTTTCAGGCCTTGGGGAGGTTCGCAGGAAAGTTTTAGACTGGCCTGTGCACCACCGAGTACCAGATGCCTTTTGAGAGGAAAATCACCCCAAAGAGTGTTAGTTCAAAGGTAAAAGCGGCGCAAGACACTTTTTGACACCTGCAAAAATTACCATTTTTAGCAAGTGTCACACAGTGACATGTCACGATCCTTCTTCAAAAATGGGTTTTTGGGGCTCAAAAAAATGGGTTTTTGAGGCCAAAATCTGGAAATTTTTTGAATCACCCTTTGGTAGAGCTTCCCGGGTCCTGCTATTTGCAGGGCATCACGTATATCGCCGGCAGCGGGACGGCCGGTATGTCGTGGCGGAGAGGGTTGCAACGATGTGGCCTTATTCACAGGTACCGCCGTGGGTCCATCAGGAAAATGACAAAGCCTTCTAGGGCCTTCTTCAAGGACCTTCTGGGACCTTGTGGGTGGGGTCATAGCGATGTTCGTCAGGTCGTCAGGTCCGCCATCTTCGTCAGGTTGATGGGGATCTTCATCAGGTGTCTTACTTTCGTCAGGTTGTTTGATAATTGATCAGATTTTGAGGAATCATCTTACCATGCCGTGTTGATGGTTGCAGCGCCGGCCGGGGTCTTCCACCCCGGACCCGACCAGGGCCTTGCCCTGGACCCACCCTGCCGGGGGCTTTGCTCGCCGCGGGGCGCTGTGCGGTGCATGTTTCCCTTCTCTTTTCTTTTTCCTTCCATTTTTTCTGCCTTTTCACGTCCTCTGTGCTCTCAGTTGCGGCGCCGGCTTTCCACCCCGGACCCCGACCGAGGCTTTGCCCCGGACCCCACCCTGCCGGGAGCTGCTGCGCGGAGCCTGGTAAATTCAACATCTTTACCATTTGCTTGGCAACTAACGAAAATCAGCCTAAATCAATCAAGGATCTGCATAAAAATGACACCTGACGAAAACCAGCGACCTGACGATCTGACAAACATGAATTCCGCCCCCTTGTAGGCAGACCTTGTAGAAGAGTCTTCTACAAAAACTGTGCAAGGCCTTGGAAATCCAAGGCCAGACAAGGAAGTTGTAGAATAGGTAATAGTCATAAGCATTATAATGGTAGTCCAAGTGCAGTGTCTTGGTCCACATTCCATTCATACTTAAGCAGAGTCCAACTTAAACTATGATCTAGTTGTAATGCCAGAAAACATTAAAGTTTACACATATTTCAAGTCTAAATACCACAGACATGCATGAGATATCTCCCAAACATTAATGGCAGTTGAGAACTTGAGTAACGGCTCGAAAGTCGAGCGGAGAGTGATAACGAGATTAAGCTGACAGCAATGGCCGGATCTTCTCCGTAGCATCAGGAAGCCAGTCACTTTGTGACACATTCCACTTTTTTTTCTTCCCTCCTTTCCCCCGTCGCGTCGATTGCCCGTACGTGCGAAATCCGCCATTTCCCCCGCCTCATTTAAAAATATAGCTCCACCGTTTGCTGGGAAGACTGCCGAGACTGGAAGCACACCGAGTGAGTTGCCCAGAGCCAAGGTGTGTGTTTGTGAACGCTTTGGCACCGCTCATCTTGCTACTGTCAGTGTTGTGCACCGACTGTTTTCAGGCTCGGTCGCAGGGTAACGCATGGCGGCGCGCCGCTTGGGCCGCGCTGTTGACAAGGCCAGAATGGTGAGCCGTGGACTCATTTCTCCATCGTTAGAGCTGAAATTTAGACGAAAGGGAGCGCCAGCGCGGCTCTCTCATCCCTCCAGGAGAACGGGTCGGCGGCTGGGGTCTGCGCGCAGCGGACGGGCCGTCTGCGAGGCCCGAGGATGGCGGGCCATTGCTTGCGTCAACGGTGGCGGCGCTACCTGGCCGCTGCGTCCATTGCTCGTAACAAGCGGCCGCATCGGCCAGTCTCCTCATCTGGTGAGTTTATGGACCAAGCAGGACTGGAAACTCACTTTTTCTACCAGTGATTCTGTGCATGTGCCGACGCGATGTGCGCCTCATAAACCCTATCCGCCATCCTTGCGCCGAGTTGACATGCGAACTTGCCACAAGTCGCGGGACACGTCGGAGAATCGGCGCTCTGGGCACATGAGTTGTACAGCGCGACCATGGAGTAGTGGGTGGCTTTCAGATCTTCGTGAATAGAGTATTTATTACCCATGTAACTTAGCCAGACGACTATGCAACACATTTTTCTCATTTCTACCCCGTCTGTGTCTGCATAAAAGCCTTCCACACATCCTTGTACATGGCCTTGTGGAGGGCCTTTGATGGCCTTGTAGGCCTTGTAAGCCTTCTACAAGGATGGGACATGACTTGTAGAAGGCCTTCCACAAGGCCGGCCTTGTATGGCCTTGTGGATGTCATTTTCCTGATGAGTCAAGGTTGAACAATGAAGAGACATCCAGCGGAAATCTGAGATAAATATATAGGTTCAAGACTAAACAGAACATTCTAGGAGTCAACATTTATCATCGATGATAGTCTCCAGGTCCTGTAAACCCACCAAAACCATTCACCCATCCACACGTTGATGTGCCAACAACCAGCATCTTCAAATTCGCCGCCACCCTTGTTTGAGAAGGAAGGTTATTGTGTCCTTATCCATAATGGGCAATCGAATGCTGCGTCCACACATGGGAGTCATTGTGGCTGTGAGTATTTAAGGCTAACCCCCCCGTTGTTTTCCCATAACAACCCCTTGACAGACACCACCATTATGTCCTTCGCGAAGCTCCCCGCCGAGCTCCTTTCCGAAATCGCCGCCTACTGTCCGAGCGAGCACACCACGGCGCTGCGGGGCGTCAACAAGATGATGAGCGAGGTCATGGCACGCGCCTTCTTCGGCTGCCTGCCGCTAATGCTATCGCCGGAGGGCCTCCGGGAGGGGACCAGAGCGATGCTGACGGCGGTGGCCAGCGGGAAGACGGGGTGGGGCAGGTGGGCACGGCATATCCGGGTCGTGCTACGCGGTGCCGACGCGCCAGTCGTCAACTATTACGCGCTGATCAACCTGCGTGACCCGGCAGCGCTGGCCGCGCAAGACGAGAGGGACGCGTTTTTCCAGCGGCAATGGGATCTAGAACAGGAAGATGTTCCGTTGCTGGAGCGCGCGTTTAATGTGATGCCCAAGGCAAGCTCTGCGAGGTACGTGGCCCGTATGCAGTGTGACTCGAAGAAATGTGACTCATAATCAGCTTTGAGTGGGGCACACTGGACTTACCCCACGGCGTCAACTACGCCATCCTGCAACATCTAGGGGCCGCAGGCGCTGATTTTCATGAGCTGAGCATCCACATTACTGCGACACAGGGTTGGCTGGACAAGCGGCCTGATCCTTCCTGGCCCACCTTCGACAATATGCGGTCACTGACGCTTGAGACACTGGCCCCCCACGCACTGTCGACGCTCGCTTACTACCTCTGGGACGCCGGGTCGACGAGGGCGCTTTCCTGTCTCAAAATCAACGGCGATGCACTCACCTCTCACCGAGTATGGAACCAACTCAACAACTGGAACCCTAGTAGCATCCGCGAGTTTTGTGTCAACGAGACCTCGTTATTCGCCTTTGGTAGCGTCGCGCTGGAGGGCATGCATACGCTCGAGTCGCTCCATATACTCCCGCGACCACGCAGACCGTGGGCCGAGCGGCGCCGGTGGGCGGCGCAGCTGACTGACAACGAGAATGCGGCACGTGGGGTTAAACTGTGGACGGCGCTCGCGGCCGCTGCGGACACAGACCTGCCAGCGAAACGGATTCGGCTCAAAGAGCTCCGGGTGCCGAAGCTTTACGAGGGATTGGCGCAATATTTGCTGTCGTATGCGGGCCTGGAAGTACTGATGATCACCAGTGCCTCTCGCGCCGATTTGCCGATAACGATCGCCGAGTCGGACACCGGCGCCGACGATGAGGATACGGCCGGCATCGTCACACTTTCGGCTTCGACTTCGGCTGCGGAGTCCCAGACCGCCGAGGCGGAAAATTTCTTCCACCGCGTCCTGGCAAAACACGCCGGCACACTCCGCGTGTTGCGAGTGACCGCACCGCATCCAGGGCAATGGAGTTTTGGCCGCCACAACGCAGACGCGATACGTCAGTTGACTAACGTGCAAACCCTGATCATGAGCGTGGATGTGGACCGCGTGGGCAATACCTTGAAGGCGGCGTTGGACAGTGAGGACAACGTCAATGCCGTCGTATGTGCTTTTACTTGTTTCACGGTAGAGGCAACTGATGAACTGACGACATAGGACCGTTTCCTCGCTACGATCACCGACCTTCCCGACCTGCGCCGCGCCGCGTTGCTCGGGACGGTCCCCTGGCGGCGGCGGCGCGAGGACTGGGAGAACGTTGTGTCCGCGGGGTGCACGAATCGGACTCTGCGGGCCATCGAAGCGGCCGTGGAGCAGGCCGCGCCAGGGCAACTAAGAGATGGGGTAGCGCTATTTGCGGGGCGCAACGTGTATTGTCAGAAACAGGATGGGACGTATGGCGTGTTGGAGACACTCAGCACTGCGAATGTGGGGTCCTCAGAGGCCGAGATGCCGCTGTGGGGTGGAATTTCCTTAGAACTTTGACATACCTTGGCCGTACATTTTTTTCTCGTTGATCATGATAACATTTGACTAGCAGAAATGTTAAAAAAAGCACCTGCAATTTTTTCTTGCTATAAACTACCTGCGAAAATTCGGAATTATTGTTCTAGTTTTTTTCTCTACATATATATAGTCAGGCACCTTTCTTGGTAATCATTAGGTAAAAGAGCTCAAGTTTTTTCTTCTCATATTTCTCAGGCAAAAGTTGCCAAAAAAGGGTGAAATTTTCAATTAGAAAAAATTTATTCAAAAATTTCAAATTTTCACATGTGTAAGGGCAACCCTGGAGAGATCAAGGTCCTAGCAGGGGAAAGGGTGAATAAAAGTTATGGAAATGTATAGAGGGACCAACCTAGCAGGGGAGGATCTAAAGAAAAGAAACTCTAAGGGTTCACCTGCTGGGAACCATATACTGGTCGTCTATAACTGCTGACATAGAGTGCAGAAGGCCTGAGCAGCATCGCAGGCCTTGTCCCAAGGTATTCGTTGGGACAGTCTTGACAGATCAGTGACAAGGGGGGTTCAACATCCAAATCGCAGATATAGGGTCGGAAAGTTTTTTTCCGACCCTCTGGGGACCCCCCCCTCCCCCCTCCTGCCATATAGGGTAATATGCTCCCACGATTAACATCATGTGGGTCATCATCGTCGTCCGAGTCCGGTGTCAGATCAGGCAGGCTGGAATCAAGACTGGAATTGGAATCGTCTCCGTTGTCAGGGCCAGAGAGGTCCATGGTGCAAACCAAAGGGAACGGGCCAGAGTGGAGCGGAGACGTTTCTGAAGCAACCGGAGTCGCCGCAGCTCGGTCTGTTCAACACGCTCTTCCTCACAGCAGGTCGAAGCAGTTGGCACTGTGTCATCTTGACCTCTCGGGTTTCCCAGTTGATCTCTAGGTTATGTTTCCGCAACCTGGAGTACCCCCAGGATGAGGTATTGCTTGCCAAGATGGGTGATGGCCAGTTGAACTTGTTCGGCATGGCCTTTGTAGCGCAGGACCAAGTCTGCGATCTGTTTGATGGAGCCAGCGTCATTGGGGGTGCCATCAACATTGAAAACAGGAATCAGCTGATCGAGGGTGCGGACCGGGATGCCGTTCCAAGTGACATAGTTTGGGTGCCACCTCCGACAAGCCCAGAGAGCAAGAGCTTCAGCGCGCTAGTGGTGGACTCCAGCTCCAGCGGGAGGTGGAGGGAGTTCACCCCAGGGGAGGCGGCAACGGTATACTGCTTGGGTAGTTTCTTTCCCCAGGCAGTGAGGTGGCGAAGGACGATGACCGGAGTTGGAGATGGAGACGGGGCAGGGGCAGGAGAGGGTGTGTCTTTCGTTTCGGGCTCATTGTAGGGCAAAGAACTGCATTCATCATACAAAGAGGCAAAACGATTTATGGACGCAAATGAGGGCACACCAGTCACCTGTCACAGGGGACAAAATCCTCTCCGGCCATCAACTCCGCTGCCGTCTCTGGCAGGGCAGCTGTGTCCGTGTAGCGGGTGATCAACTCCGCTAACATCTCGTCACCGAGTTGTTGGATCACCTCATCAAGGATGTCCATTAAGCGGACATCGGCAGGGAGGGGGCAATCCCAGGCGAGATGATTTGGGTCGTCGCACCTGAAGCAGGCGCGACAAGGGGCACCCCGAGCCCTGGTGCGACTACATACTACTTGTCTGTAGCTGCCGCTGTCGGGCACAGAAGGCTTGGGCGGCGTCGCAGGCGAGGTCCCAGGGCGACCGTCGGGAGGGCGTTGACGGATCGGTGATTGTGCGGGCGAGATGGAGGGCCGGACCGGAGTCGGAACCGGAATCGGACGCGTCTCCAGGCCGAAAGGGAGGTTCCCCTGACACAAGGTCCATCAGGTCCTTGATGTCGTCGGTGTACTGGTAGACATCCTTTGTACCTATGTGATAGGTGGAAGTCTCCAGTTTGGAGAGAGCGTGATCTTGCTCGTTCTCCTCGACAAACTGGAGTTGAAACTTGGAAACAAACAAGCCCCAGGACGGAAATGGAAACGGGGCTTTGCTTCCGTGGCACTCTGCCCATTGCTGAGTGGGTCCTTCTGCCATAAATGACATGGCATAACAGATGGCCTTTTCCTTGCTCGCCTCTCCATTGACCATGAAGGCCTCAGGGGCAAGGCGGGCTAGGTGCGAACCGCATAGAGGAATGCGCGGCCGCGTTTCCGATCACCATTGAAGGTGAACAGGGGGTTTAGTCGCAAGACCAATTTTGAGGCGAGGTTGATGTCGCCAAAGAGGGCTTCGAAGTTGCCCTGGACCGGAGTCAGAGTCGGAATCGACATCTCTGGCGATGATGTTTGGGGCGTGCCAGCATTATTAGCGGCGGCAGCGGCAGCGGAAGCCTGGTTGGTGAGTAAAGCAAGGGCCTCAGTTAGGCTGTCGATTGTTGCCTTGAGTGAGTCCAGTCGGGCGTCTGCGGTGGAGTGACTCCAGATGGCATGATGGGTGCGAGGATCACAGGAGTGGCAGCCCACTCAGTTAGGTTTGCTAGCAAAACCTGGCCCAAGGCCCAAGGGTCATAAATGTAACACTTTTAGAAAAACTATTTGATTCATGTTTTAGGGTTAGATCATAGTATTGATGATGATAGTGATGGCATTAAGATAATGTCATTGATGTGGAACGATTTTGAATTGACATCAGTATTTTGATGACTATGTCAAGATACATCAATTTTTGCCTAATTAGGATGTATACCTTTGCCCCAGATCACAAGCCTACAATGATCAAGGTGCTGCCAACATGCACGGATCGGTGGGACCCGGGTCTGAGTCTGGTGGGCAGCGTGCAGGTTGTGGAGATATAGGGGCAGCTTATGGTATGTGTGCCAGCAAAAACTGCATGGACTGTTTGTCAGATTGAATATATGTCCCGTTGCGATTTGAAGTCTCCGGAAATTGCATGACAGCTAGTATCTATGGGCTGGGAATTGGAGTGGTTGAGGATAGGGAAGAGTGCATATTGAAGTATCTCCACATAGGGAGTGGCACAGATATACTGACCCATTTCGTTCAATTCAGCGGGCCTGTGACCCGTGACCGTTTGGCCGAAATGTCTAATTTTGTGACCTCTTACCTAAATAGTAAATTCCGCCAAAGGCGCAAAATTTTTTGAGATTCTTCCAAATCGGGATGCTTTGGGACCAAAAGAATGGGCTGTGACCTGTGACCGGCCGAAATATTTCAGCCAAAAATCCCGATGTGACCGTGACCCGCTGAAATGGGTCAGTACCCTTGGGTATGTGGGACTCCATCCGTATCTATGCTGGCTGTGTACCCATATCCATGGATACGGATACAGATATACCTATGGATTGGAGAAGATATTACATAGAAATTTTATCAAGGTAGTACAAAAATGTTTGTACGCCTACTAGTATGTACCATCAAGCCAATATGTAAGAACTTCTGTTTTAGGCTGCTGGAGTATATTATCCCCCCTATTTACTGTACTATTTTATTCAATTTGTCGGTCACACGTCACACCCCAGCTGATCCAACGAAATTTTTTGTAAGTCACGCAGCCACTGCACGACTGACAAAAGGTACAGTTTGTCAGGGTGTCACGCGCAAGACCCCTGATGAACTGATTAAAATGGTACAGTACCCTCACACCTTCAAGGGTTTACTTATCCATGATACTCATAGATATGAAAAGTTCTATCTGTACCCATATCCATATGGATAAAATCGGTGTATCCGCATGGATTGCATATATCCCTGCTTATATATATCATAATTTTCCTCCACTTATGCTATAACACATGTTTTAGCCAAAAAAAAATGGTCCCCTAAGCTGAATTTAGATATAAGAAACAGTGGTCCAAAACAATGGCCTCTTTTACTGCTTTGATTGATATGCAATAAAGTTTCAAAAGTTGTACAAGAAATCCAGTTCTGTATCAGGGTGTCAAATATAGCATATATTATGACTACTCCCTTCCTGACCTAAGGGGCAGGCATGATGGCATCAATGGACATGATGTCAGTCAGTGGGTCCCCCCTGGCAGCCTTAATTCTTTTTTCTGGTAGTAATTTTTCGTTGTATCACATAAGTATAATACATCTAAGAATATTTAACACTGTATTTTCATGTGATTTGAGTCTGTATAGCCAGCCCTTACTTAACCAGTGATTGCCTGAGTGCCTGAGGGTCCTATGAAAAATAAACCCTCAGGGCCCTATCCAGAGGCCCTCAGGTCAACAGAAACTAGTTAGAGGGCCTTAATAGGCCCTATTGATTGGATCATATGTGTCATCATAAATGTGTCATGATCATCTGTCAATGAAATTTTTATCAGTCTTCTTCTTCACACTGCCCACACAGCCAATCTCTGAGATTGGTAAAATCCTTCTATGTCATAGCCAAGGCAAACACATCACACTACCACAACTACTGCAAAGTAACCGACATGCAAGCAGAGGCTAAGTATCTAAATGATCTTGCAGATGCCACAAAAGATACATAACTTGATGATGGAGCCATTTACGATGGTGATTATATTGCATAATTTGATTATTAAATAACTTCCTTTTTTGGTAAAATAGGGCCCTAGGGCAATCACTGTGTAACTTAACCCCTCTGCAAATTACCATATTTGGTAGGATTTGTCATGTATTTGTGACACTTCTCCACCTCTGTTGTGACATTTCAATGTGGAGATCATAAAGGAGGCTTTTTTACAAGACTATTCTGTGTGTTAAGTAGTAATTGGTTGGTGTCACAGTTGGTCGGTCCCCTGTCTGAGGCTTCCTGATGTGTTTCTAAATTTTATTTATGCCTCCCCCTTATCCATGTTTTATAGACAATAAGTGAAAAATGGTGCTGCATTATTAGTCACTATTACCCACTTTGTTATATATGGTGATTTGTCATATAAATATATATGGTCTTCTATCTTGTGGCATATTTGGTGCATTTATTTGCTACAAATTATAGCCACACTCACTTTGAGTTAAGTCCAATGTGATGACTCAATATGCTGCGATTTCTTAGAGAATCAGTCCCCATGAAAATCCATGAAGGATTGAGAAAACAAAACAGATTTTCAATTGCAAATTATGATGTCCATCGTCGTACTGACGGGTCCTTCAGTCTTGCTTCCGTCAGAAGCAATCACCTCCGGCGTACTGGCATAATTGTGTGGGATCGTGACACATGTGCTAAGTAATCCTCAACTGATCGGATTATTCTGTAAGGTTGCCCCACGGATTGCCCACGGGCCGATCCTGTATCCCCTTTAGTACAACGATTACGCGGCCGGACAGGACACGACATGGCCCATCACTTCGTCATCCAGGTTGCCACATGCATTCGGGCCGATTCCTCAAAATCCGCTACCGTGGGAGTAGAATTTCCCTTGCTAGAACGGCGGCCGTTGGGCTAAGGAACGCAAAAGCAAGCAAAAAGGGACATGTAGCTCATGTCGATGCACGGTCTGCTATGTGGTTTCTTGATAGTAAGTAAGTGCTTATTGGATCAACTTCCTGGGTCGCGCGATCTACTAGTACTCAGCCTGACTACGAGTACCTTGCTTTTTTCGATCATTTCGGTCCGATTACAGCCCATTGCACCAATCTCGGCTGCTTCACTCCTACGCGCACATGGCTAGCTAGAAATGACCAGATCATTGTGATGGGCAATCGTGGGCAGTGTTGTGCGCGTCGTACCCTACAATTGCCTGGCTAGGCTCTAGCTAGGTACTTTAGAAGCTTATCGCCAGAACTCCTTCCTTGCGAGACACATACGACTGTACTCGCATTCGCCAATGATTGACGTTGACGTCCGAGGAATTTGATCTGTTGTCCCCACCAATGGGCAAACGCCGTTGGTTGCTACGTAAGCACCGCAGCACTGGACCAGCGCCCATTCCAAAGAAGCCACATCAATGTCGGGAGTGGGATCAATTACGGGACCTATCGACGCAAATCGTTTGTCCTGCCGATCGTTTGGGGCACGTATATTAAGAACAAGCACGCGAACAGCATTTTGTCCTTTACTCGCTATGGCTTCCCCGCCCTCCTCTGTTACATCGTCCTCTTCCTCTGCGGCTTCTTCCCCCGAGCCGCGCTCCGCCAGTGCGGCTCGCGTCAGAAACTTGAAGCCCAAGCCGAAACGCAATGCCTGTTATAATTGCCGACATTCCAAGGCCAAAGTACGGGCTTTTTGACATCGCAAGGGGCTTACCACTGAACTTGAACCCGTCAACCCATAGTGCATACCAGCCCGCGACAAAAATGTCGATCCAGAAACCATGCCCTACGTCCTTGTGTCCTGCACGCGCTGTCGGATGAGAAATATGCAATGCCAATACCCTTCTGGGCCACCGTACATCATCCCCAGCTACGACCATCCCATGTGCCGAGTGCTGATACCTCTACAACCCGCCGCCCAACCCCCAATGATCGCGGTATCGAGTTCGTCCGAATCATCCCGCCCGCTTGGGGGCTTGCTTCCGTCCACGCGCGCGCCTCCCCGAGACTTTCGGCCAAGATACGGTGACCGCACATCCTACCCGTCGTTGGCACTCGTCCCCACCTCGGACGATTTTGGTCTGTTTGCCCCCTCACCACTGGCAGCGACAATCCGCCCGTCACCTACTAGCAGTCCGCCATCCGCGTCGCCAGGTGAAATCGAAACTCCAACAGGCGATTTCACCGCGCAAAGAATCGATTGGGGAGCACTGGACCTGGCAGTGGAGCTTGGAGCGACTGGGCCCGCCACATTCGACAGTCAAGCCGCCGATGATTGGTGTGAGCTCATGCTTGGTCATTACTAGTTTGGTGTATTGTGTCTGTAGATTTGCGAAGAGTGTATTACAATGATAATGAGGCACTCACCGAAAGCCTAAGCACCCGCCCGACGTATGAGGACATGTACTCTTCATCGCATGACTTGATGAGTAACGCTACGCTGTAGTGCTTTGAGATGTGGCTAGTACTTAGCTGCCAGAGTGCTTCGAATCCTGAGACGGCGAAATGTGGCCGATGAAGTCCACATCCTGGAGGGAAATACGTTCCGCACTATCGCACAATCTCCGCATGCCGGGGATCAGGGAACCGTTGGAGTCGATCAGCTGCCTATCCACAAATGAATGTTGGCTGAGTGTGGCACTGGTCATGATGATTCTCCGACTGCGCTTTGAGCTTACTGAGCTGGCATTGCCACGGGAAATTTTATCCCCACCTGGGACAGTTGGTAAGCGGGATTCCATGCGCCAGCTGTAACAATGAGTCAAGGGCGATGGAGGCTCTGTGGGAGAAAGACATTTCGAAACTACCATACTAGTCCAAACAATAGATGATTTCCGGTCTTGACACGTCAGACTAAGAGAGAGTGGAAAAAAATGTATTGACGCAACGCAGAAAGACGACAGAATGTTGCTCGAAAGGTAATAGAAAGGTGGGTCCTATAATTTTACGTCTGCGGTGTAGCGCTGGAACCGGATGTAGTCATTGATTTGGAGCTGAGGAAGGTCGCGTCTTGACAAGTCTTGACCCTTGGCCAGTGGTGGATCGAGTCGAGAATCAGAGCAAGTCATTTGCAAGAGGTCTATTCCAGAGATGGGAGACCGCGTTAGTTCACTACATGTTTCTTGACAACGAACGAGCTGTGTGCTAGGCGTGGAAGGCCGACCAAGATGTGTGCGGTCATAACATTGTCGAGCAAGTCGTGATGTCTAAATGCCACATTTCGACGAAAGAAGAACGGCGCCGGTCATGACTCCATATCCATACTGACGGTGGAGCATGCAAGAGAACGTTGTTGCGCCGAAACATCGTCAGAGCCAAAATGGCGGACACTACTTTCTGCGCCTCCGTGTATCGATGTTGACTCTGTTGGTTAGGCTCGCTGGCGACTCCACTGATGGTAGTTTGCTGAGCTTGCGCAACGAGTGGACGGCCCCCTCTCGGAACTTGAAGGCCACGGCGGAATTGTTGACGGATAAAAGTCAGACAGATTCGTCAGAGTTGGCCAAGAACGCACTTGGAAGGGCCTGTAACCCGCTCAAACTGCTCTCCTTGCTCAATCCACAGTCTATCCATCTCCCCCCGCCAGCTCGGATCCCGACAAACGGAGTTTGAGGCGTCGTAAACATCTAGGTATCGACCCGGACACCCTTTCCCGTGTTTGCGGGAGCCTGGACCGTCTCCCGCTGTGGCCGTGGGTGGAGCTTTCGCGGAAAGGACGGAAAGTGGGGGTGGTGATGACAATCGGAAGCAAGGGCGACGACGTGTCACGGATGTCCACGACATTGCTTTTGACCACCATACCTGGAACTCGCCTGTGCTCCTCTCCCGTTTCAAATGAACGGCGTCGCAATAGCGCTAGTGGAGCTTCAAGTCCGCCCCCCTACATATCATGGTCCATGCCGAATCAACGTCGCATTTTTGCGACTGCCGCGCCGCACGCAATATGCCACACAAAACTCCAAGCTAACCCGCTTTTATATGCTACAGCTCTGGACCCTCTCTACCCAGCGAAACAACAGGCAGTGTCATCCAACGGGCTAGTGTAATGCTAGTATTTCACTTTTCCGCATTGGGAGTTGTTTGCGGAGAGGCGCCGGGCGGACGCAGAAGACTATATCGGTCCCTGATTGAGTTGGCCTGTCTATCTCTCTCCGTGTTCGCACTAATTATAAAACCAGACCGGTCTTCCACCTACTCTGAACGAACAACCATGTCTCTACATTCGCTCGCAGCAGGTCTCTCCAACCTTTCCGTTTCCCCCTCCGTCACCCACCTGCCGCAAGCGACCATTTTGCATGCAACACCATCGTACATCATCCCGGCTCTACTGACAATAATCATTGTGTGCAACTTTTACAAAGGGCGAGGCAAACAGGGCAAGAGGATACCTGGTCCGCGAGCGTTGCCATTACTCGGAAACTTGCTGGACTGGCCTAGTCACCACCAGGGCGAACGTATGGAAGTATGGCAGAAGGTATATGGTGCGCTCGTTTCTCTCCCTAGATCTATCCTGTGCTGAAGCATCGTAGGCCCCATTACCCGCTTATCCATCCTGGGCAAGAACGTTCTCTTCCTCACTTCCACCAACATTATATCCGAGCTCTTTGTCAAACGTAGTGCGGTGTTCTCCGACCGACCTCAACTCGTGTTCTCCCAAGAACTGTATGTGCTATTCATTACCGCCGTCCTTCGCTCTCAGTGTCAACCGGTCGGCAGATGCGGCATGGATGTTCTCCATCCGATGACCCAATATGGCGCGGACTTTCGAGAGCAGAGAAAGTTCATGAAAGAGGCATTGGCCCCAGAGGTTCAGCGACGCCACGAGAGTCTACTGAACGAAGAAGGCCGTCGTCTCCTGCGTGCAACGTATGAAGATCCTGAGGATACTGCTCGACATTTACGCCGGTAAGTCTGGTACTCCGGTCCACGCAGAAGCTAACCACCACCCGTTGACAGCTTCTCAACGTCGTTCTCCCTCCGCATGGTATATGGGCTTCCTGCCCTCGAGGTAGACGACCCGCAAGTTCTGCTCGCCGAAGAAATGATGGCCTTGTCGGAGTATGCCCTCACAGGTGGCTGGCTGGTAGATTTTTTACCCATTCGTGAGTCCTTTCGGCATTCAAACCAGGTTGACCACACCTTATCGTGTAGTGAAGCACCTCCCATCTTGGGTGCCTTTTCACAGACGTGCCAGGTATTTCCGTGCGAAGATCAACGAGATGATGTCCAAGCCATGGGGCGAAGTCAAGGAACAAGTAGTGCGTTACACGTTCATTCATCCTGCCACTCTAGGTTAATCCTGATCTGTCAGCATGCTGGCACGGCGCCTGACTCCTTCTGCTCTATTAATATGCAGAAGTTTGACGATGGGAAGAGCAAGCACACCGAGACGCTCATCAAAGCCACTGCTGCAGCGATCTACGGCGCGGGGGCGGACACCGTATGTTTCCAACGTTTTGTTCCGCGCACCTGTTTCCCACCGTCAAACAGTCTGCTGCTTCGTCTTACTCTTTCGTGCTCGCAATGCTCCTCCATCCTTCGGTGCAATCTCGCGCGCAAGACGAGTTAGACGACGTTGTTGGCCGCGACCGCCTCCCGTGTTTAGCAGATCGACCCAAGCTGCCTTATCTGACGCGTGTCCTGTGGGAAGTACTTCGTTGGGCACCGCCAGTCCCAGTTGGTGCGTGATGCCGTTGGGAAAATTACAATTATCCTCATCACCAAATATCTAGCCATACCGCATAGAAACCGGGAAGCCGTTGAGTTCGACGGATACATGATCCCTAAAGACACTATGGTGAGTGGTCCTTTGCTTGCGTGAGCCTCAAATTGAATGTGGCAATAGCTCATGGCTTCGATATTGTGCATTTGGTTGTTTTCTCCGGTTGCGAAAAGCCTGACAAATACTTAGCTCCCTTTCTCGTGATCCCGAGGTCTACGCCTCCCCGGAGACATTCAACCCCGACAGGTTCGAGGGAGAGCGGGGCGAGCGTCTCCCGCACCATGCTTTTGGCGTCGGTCCTCGGTACGGAATGCTTCACTGTATGCCGCCAGATTGGCTGAGCTAATGTTGAAATAGTCGCTGTCCTGGTGCGGATGTCGCATTCACACAACTATTCCTTCAAGCTGCATACATCCTCGCGTGCTTCCGCATCTCTCCGCAGCGCGATGTGGCGGGCAAGGAAATCATTCCAGAGGTAAAGTTCGGCGGCGGGATGGTTCGGTGAGTCAATCGCTGAGAGACCACATGAATTATATAACAATGCCCTTAGAAATGCGGAGGAGTTCCCATTCGTGATGCAAGCTCGGTGGGATGGGGTGGAGAGGCTATTTTCCGATGCCTAAGTTGATGGTTTTTGATCATCATTAACCAGGGACCATGACCATGTGTCTCCAGGGGCCATCGCAACCCGGCAGACTAGTTTATAAAATATCTGTAAGATGTACGCTGAGTCTTAACACACGGGAAATTCCCAAAAAATTCTTTTCTGTTTTAAACATGTGTTAAATGTATACACATTTACTTATATCCATAATTCTATAGACAAGAAATATAATATATCAATTTTTCCATGAATGTCTATTCTTTATGAAGCTTTCTGTAAGAACAAAAAGAATGTCTTTGGCAGGGATAGAAAAGTTATTGGAAAGATCTTTCCATATGCCTTTCAATCCCTGTCAGGGAACCTCCCCTCTGGCCCGCCGATTCCGACCCCGATTCCGGTCCTCCGGTTCCGGCGATCACATCATCGCCTCCACTAGATGCTGGGACCTGGCTTGTAACATGGTGTAGGCAGACTGCTTGAAGCAATGGTATATAGTTCAGCTACCTAGCAGGTGGACTGTTTCTTCTCTTTGGATCCTCCCCTGCTAGGACACTGATTTCGGGCCTCCAGGGTCAGTGTTGCCTCTAATGATAAGCATTAGCTTGAAATTCAGGGTTATTTTTATTCTAAGTTAAGGGCTTAGATTGAGCTGGGAACTTTTCTAAGGCCTCATCTACCCTTATCCACCTGCGACCTGGTGTGACCTGGTGTGACCCACATGATAGAGGCGGATATCAACTATTGTCAGGCTGCACTAACAGAGGGAGGGTGTCTAATGGAGCTTCTACAGGTCAAGAATAGCAATAAGAAGCTGGATATTAGTGCTGTTGAGAGCTCTGGTGATGATTTTGATGGATAAATAGTTGAAAAATAATTTTTCCTTTTTTTTTAGGAAATAACCCTTGGAAAAACCCTTAGAATCACACCCTAAATAAGGGTAAATAAGTATCTAAGACCCTTTAATTTTAAAAGCAACCATTATTTAGAGTCTTATAAACAATACTGCCCGGGGTTGCCCTTACAATCCCCCTTTCTGCGTAATATAGAGGATATATTTCTGCTCATTTCATAAATAAGTTCTTTAAATTCATCTTTATTTGTTGTTGTCCAAAGGAACATATTTCTGCAATTTTCAGAAAGCTTTTCTTTATATACACCTTTGATAGCAAAGAACATTGTTCAAAAAAAGAAGAAAGGTGTGCTATTTGCTTGCATGAAAGAGGAAAGGAAACATCATCATTCTGACTTTGTCAGAAAGATCCTCTTTGTTCTTGTAGCAGCGTGTAACGTGTGACCAACGAAATAAATAAAATAGTACAGTATATAATATTTCTTCTTTATGGAAAGAAGTATTATTGTTAAATTCATGTTTTAATAGGGAAAGAAAGTTTGGAATTTTCCCTGTGTAAATCCTGATTTTTATGATTTGTGGTATATAAATGCCTGCATACATATATTTACTTCCAACTTACTCTGGTATTATCTTGAAAACTAGTTGATTAAATAAATTCGAACTTCAGCCTCTTAATCTCCTTGTATCAGTGGGAATAAATCAAACAGAAGGGAGGGGTAGGTCAAATAAGTGTTTACAAGTGTTCATTACAGTTCTAAGACAATTTATGTATTATTTGGAATAACATACTAGTAATGTGGACACATGATTGAAATGGTACAGCAAACTCTAAAGAAATTTACAGGCCCTGTAAATGGTTTGAAGGTTCCAGGTATATGATATAATTTCATTGCAGGTCCCTCAAACTCACCAGTCTGGGAGAATATCTTATATAATATTGTTAAATTAACATTTAAGAAAATTATTCTGTGCCAGTGAGTGTTAGCTATAGGATTGCAGACAATCACTAATTGTAAATTGAACAAGAAAAAAAGTCAATGATACAGTTGCTACTGAAAATATGATGACTGGTCTGATTTGACTGAATATCAATACCAATAACGAAAGTGTCCATTGAGACCAAGTCTTGAAAACTTTAAAGCAATCTAAGTCTCTGTCACTCTGAAAACAGAATCTTAATGTTCAAAAACAAAAAGGGAGGTATGTAAATATTAGTAAAAGTCCAAAACTGCTCTGCTAGGCTGCCAGTAGTGAGACCAATATCTGGTGAAGTGTGAATCGGCAGCACAAGTCCGCCGGTTGTCGCCGGGAAACTCCGAAACTATTGCCCGCCATATGCACACATGCATGGCGAAGGAGAGCCGCATACTGGGCATGGATATGTGTAGTACCCCTGCATTGCGCCCGCATAGTTCGGCTGGTAATAGGCGCCCGGCGGTGATGCAAGCTCATCTGCGCCGGGATATTGCATTCCCGATCCGGTTGTGCTCGACTGAGCCGGGTAACCTTGCGGTCCTTGCCCGTAGTAGTTTATATGTGATGCAGGCTGCATCGCTTGCTGTTCCTGCGAAGATGGCCCCACGGCAGACAGTCCGGCCTGCCCCGCCGCCCTATAACGGCTCTGATCGTGATGGCTATGAGCCGTTGGCGCCGGACTCCAGGGATTCTGACCCGGAGGCATAGAAAGTGCCACGCCGGGCCCGAAACCGGACTGAGACATTGCTCCGAAGTCGTTTGGCGCGCTGGGCTCCGGTTCGTCGCTGTCTGAGTCGTCGGCCCCAACACGCTTGTACACACAGGCGTCAGGCCGGTGCAAGTGTTTGCAGCGCTCGCAGGGGCCAGTATAGTCGCTGCTGATGCACTGGGAAGCTTGGTCAGTATAGGATATACCTGGCTCAAGGTCGAAAATTCATAGCACCTTTCTTTTGCCCTTCCGACAATGCTGACACGCCATATAACCCTTGGTTCGCTTCTTGCTCGCCGTGGTCGACGGAGTATTAGACATTGAGAAGGTATTAGCGTTGGGTAGGTGGGATCAACGTCCGGAAGCAACTATATGCTTTAGTAGGCGTAAAATTGTATGACGGTAAGAGAGGGGAAATACGAGGCGATCCAGCGCTTTCGTCCGGGCAGTCTGAGACACTGACACTGAGCAGAGAGCCATTATATGCCGTCGAAAGCACCGTCAGTACAGCCGCTGAGTTCTGGGCGAACCCGCAGCTAATAATCTCGGAGCAACCACCGTAGTCCGAGTCGTCATCAGAGTCCCTCAGTGCGGGCCTGTGGGAGCACGAAAGGTTCTTTAGTTGCCTAGGAAGACCAGGTATATGGACGCCGAGCTGCAAATGAGGAAATATCGGGTTCCGCCAGGTGGGGATCGCGACTCATCGTTTGAAGGACCCTGATGTGGTCTGTGCGGGCAACCGCGAAGCCTGACCTTCTGGAGGCGCAGTCCGATCTTGATGCAATACCAGCATCCACATAGATTTCGTGCTCGAGTTGCTAGCCCTGTTGCAGATGCTGAGATTGAGGGCAACGCGTTTCGGGCTATACCAAGACACCCAGATATGTGAGATGCTGTCAGTTATAACCTGGGAACTTGAAGGACCTCACTCCCAATTCATGTGCAGTCCGGACAGGTTCTAAGATCGGCGTCGTAGATCGCCGGAGGTAAGCCCTGCTGGAGCTTCAGCCGCGATCCGCTGGGAATGTAAGAACATTTCCGGTGGGAAGGGGATAGCCTGATATCTGATTTCGATGAATTTGCTTGATGTAAAGAGCGGCTACGCCAGTTTAAGCGCCCATTCAATACAGTATGCACCTGTAGTACGCGCTTGCATGATGAGTTCATAGCTGTGTTGAGATATATAGAGTTTGAGCGTACGGGTATGAAACGGCGCTCGGAGAAATGGCCTTGAACGACACCTTCATCATGACTCATGAGTCATGGCCCAACCAAATCGTCCCTAACCAAGTCAGTGATTCGGAAGGGTTGCCTTCAAGAAGTCGGGAGACACATTGTAGGGGTGCATTGTCGAAATAAAGTCGGTGGGGCCCCAATGGGCAATTCGCACCAACTTGAAGCCTACCCGAGTGGTGCTGTAACCGAGAGCGCTGGCAACGACATCATTTGTGGTGCAGAACCCAGCCAGGAATATCACGTCAAACACCGAAGGCGTCAGATCGACGGTTTCTCCAGGTCGGATATACCAGTATGGAGCTCGGAGAAGTAGCATGGCTGAAGCTATCGGAGCCCGGGTGTCGTCTTCTACCAATCGAGCCGCAGAGGGAGGAAAAAGATTTGTATGGAGAGAAGCTTTAAAGACATGTCGTAGAAGCTCGCAAGTGCGACGTCGAAACGAGAACGGTGATAGATTCCAAACACTGCCGCAGTCTGAAAGAAAACTAAGAAGAGCATCATATGCAAAGTGTTGCGCGTCGATATAACGACGAGATACTGACATTCTACGACATAAGTAGATTCGTCATTTGCTCGAGATAGAATAGTTACATACACGGTTCGAGAAAGTACTTAGGCGCCTGCATTGCCCCTCAGGCCCGAGTCGGAAACTCGGAGTCCAGGACAGTCCTCCCAAGCGAAAGCCGTACAGAGCCCGCGTTGAGGAAACTTGCTAAGAAGTACCAAGGATGGGCAATAGTCATCGAGGCAGCTTGAGACTCGGGGCTTGAAAGTGCCGGATAGGCGCTTGAGCGAGGAGACCCGCGAGCAGTGCAAGAAAGAGCAAGAGCAGAACATCGCGTCGAGAAGTATAAGCGTGTTCATCACAACAATCTTAATGTGGGTTTCGCCGAGAAGAGCGTTGAGGAGTCGGCGGGGCAGTCGCGTCGATGTGCATTGTGCAAGTCAGAAAAATAGCGGCAGTTTCGAGTGGGTGACATACTACTTTTTACATCCCTGGCTTCCTTTGGTTTAGGACAGTCCATATGCTTACTCGCAAGCTATATCGGCCCAGCAATTCCACCTAGACGCGCGTCATTTCGAGTCGTATTGTGATAACATGCGACGGAAAACGACAATGCTTGAAGTCATGAGGGGGAAGGCCGGGGCTTGAGCGTTCGTCTGAGGGGCTGCTACGTGGCGTTGTATATGCATGGTAATGATGATGGTATGAATGGCGCGACCTAAGGGCAGAGCAGAGCAGAGGGTGCTCATGGCCAAGAAGGAAAAGAAGGGGGCAGTGCCATTACGTCACATCAAGGGAGAAGATCTTCTTCCGAGTTGATCCCTTACAATTATTGTTTCAGGACGAATCCTTGGTGTCACTATCGACTACAAACAAGCCCCGTGTGCGAAACCTCCATGCATCACCAGCGCCTGAAGAGGTCTCTGAGTAACTCCGCGCCCGGGACGTCGGTTGTCATCCCCCCAACTTGAATAGTTTGCGCGTGTCCAGCCGGGACACGGTCCGGGAAATACTGTAGCATTTTATTCAGTTCGTATGTCACGTGTCACAGTAGCTATAAAATTCGAAATTTTTTCGTATGTCACACCATTTTGCTCAAAATCCTCTCCCAAAAAGGCAATTTATGACATTTCCGGGCGCCTCCGGCGCCAAGAGTTTCCTAATTAGGAAATAATTCGAATTGATATTTTCGTATTGAATGTCACACCACTTTTGGCATTCGAATTGAATAAAATACAACAGTACCACTCCGGCCCAACCGCCGAGGAGCAGACCGTGCCGTTCGCAGGCACCACATCGGCAAAAAAGTCCTGTACGAGCTTCATAGTACATGGTGTCGGGAGGGACGACGAGCAGTGCTACACAAAAAAAAGATTAGTTTGTATTATGAAACAGAATGCTGATAATGTAAGAACGTACTCCAGGCCCGTCTTGAATGACCAGTCGCGAGGAGTTGCCCATGGCACGGTTGAGTCGCAGACCCGACTCTATTGGGGTGATTCTGTAAACAAATTTAAGTATGCGAGGAAAGACAGTAAGCCAAGCATTACGGATCCATCTGGTCAATTGATAGTTAACAATCACGATGAATTGAGAAATTAACGACTCACGGTGTTGCTAACGATCAACAACGACACTTCCAAGCTCGCATTCCACGGGCCCGCAAACCGCTCCGGCTCCCGCCCGGCCGTAGGCCAATATTCACACCCGCCATCCGGTTCATTGAGCCACAAACTGGCGCCAAAATGCGGGCTTATGGCTAACGCACGCATGTATTCCTCAACATAAGTTCTGGAAGTAGGGCAAAATACTGGTGTTGTGGGCAGCCGAAAGAAGAAAAATAAAAATTCCTAAAAAGGAAGGAGGGAGGAAAGGAAAAGAGAGGGATTTAAATAGATATCTGCATTGTATTCCTACTGTTTTTACATGCAAAACAAGCCTCTCTCAAGAGTGAATTTCTCTGAGCGGCGCCTGCGGCGAGCAGTTTGATCTGTCACACATCTCATGTGAATATCACAGAATACTGTCAACAATTTCCATTTTTGAATATTTTTGCCGCGCGGCACCCGTTGATGGCAAATACTGAACCCAAATCGGGTTTTTCTGGCCGGCTGTTCCCTGGTCCGATGCCCGTCACGTTGTCGTCACGCCATACCCATCAAACAGTAGTATGGGCAGTATACTGTATCAAAAGTTTTAGTACAACTTCTACCCAAAACAGTGAGAATTTAGGTACAACTTTGATTTTATTCAAAACTCAATGATACAACTGGTTGTTTTTGTGCACAACTTGCAACTTTTCATGCACAACTTCATGGCTGACAACTATTACTCCCTGCAGCAACTTGACAGGAACAACTTGCAACTTAGCACTCCTTATTGCAACTTTGGACATGCAACTTACAACTTTAGAAAAGCATGTGCAACTTGCAATCTCTTATACTGCAACTTTCAACAAGCCTGGTGCAACTGTCTTTAAAACTTGACTCTGATATTAACAAAAGCTAGGAATTTCTAGTAGAGAGTTTTATTTATTCATTTATGTAATATGGGAGTTCAATCAGATCATTAAATTTATTTCCATCATTAATTGGAATCTCCTGGGAGTCAGACTATTCAGAAACAAGCACAGAGCCTAGGCACAGTCAATTTTCTCCGTTTGTCTGTTTCAGTTAGCTAGTAATTTGTTTTGTTAGATTGATGATGTCAGGTGAGAATGCCTAAAATATGACAAATTTCTGCCAGCTCTTTCTGAACGTGTCAGATGAACCTCCTGTTCCAATCACCACCACTGTCTAGTAGTTGCAGTCATACTCAGAGTAACAATCACTCTTGGTGTAGCAACAGCATAGTATATAGTCAACTATCTAGAGCAGGTGCACCCTTATATCTAGTCTGTAGAAATTAATTTTGGAAATTCCCTGGCTTTCAATTCCTGTAATCAGACATATGGAGGATAAATTACTGTCTCTACTGACATAAGACTTGGCTTGATTGCAATATATAATATGAAAGTTGTAGTTGTGGCAGAAGATTTTGCAGCCAATTACTTTGAAGTTGTTCTGCATATTGAAAACCTGCAACTAACAAATTCAAAGTTGTAGTTGCTCTGGAAAGAAGTTGCTATATGAAAAGTTGAGATTGTAGTTGAGAAAATGAAAGATGTTGTTGTAAATTACAAGTTGTATTAATCCCTCTGGCAGTTGTTTTAGCTGGAAACACCTTGCCTGGAGTTGTCCCTAAAAAGTCTGAAAAAAAGAGTTGAAAGTTGTGAAAAACTTTTGATACAGTATACCGCCCATACAGTAGGGCAGCAGCTCTGCTCACCTACAGAGAGGTAAGTGGTTGGGAGCATGGTCCAAGAGTATAGCTTCAACAGGCTCCCTGCTCTCTAGACCAGATATTAAATTATTTACTCCCAAACATACATTATTGTGTCTATTTGATGCCTTGTGCTGTTCCAGAAGTAAATAAATTATGGAGCAAGCCAAGGTTCATGGTACAGTTATAGTAGATAAGCTAAGTCCAGCACAAAGCCCCACTTGAATCAATTATTGTTACAAAAATACAACAGAAAAATCGGGCAAAAGTGTACTTGAACGCGGGCCTCCGAGAATCACGGAGGATCAAACCCCATCCCAAAACGGATATTTGGTGATGTCAGCGTCACACCGTCAGTATTACTGCAGTATTTGCCCACAGCACCAGTATTTAGCCGGAAGTAGGCAAATTCTGTCGCGCCGACTAAGATAAGCAAGTTGAATCTGGAACTAGGAACACATACATGTGAATCAGCCGCTGGCTGGTCGGCACATGTGACGCCCGACCGCGCGAGGTCGTGGTATGGCGAGTTAGAGTGGCGCGGCGCCACTAAGAAGTTGTGTAACAGAGTACCGTTGCCAGCGATGGCGCTGCCGATCGCATGTGCGGCTGAAGACCATTGGGTGGGCTGCTCAAGGTACATCAATACCAGTGCTACAGCCGTATTCAGCATCCTATTTGGTTCTATGAGAAAACGAGAGACAGACGCACCCCTTGCAGCGCCAGAGGTCAAATACCCCGCTCTTGCCTTCCCCAACCCGATTACCGGCATCGGCGCGCGCGCCAGACTGTCGAAGAATTCCTCGAGTCTTTCTTCGAGGACCACAGGTGTGTCCGATGTGTGTTGAGCAATTGGGCACCCTAGTGGACCTGCGGCAGCGCACATTTCCAAGAAGAATCGGTACGTCTTTTCGGTCGAGGCCAGCCAGTTGGCTGGCCATTTGTGTGCGGGCTCCGCTAAGACCATGATGAGATCAACACCCGAATCAAAAAAAGGTGGGCCCTCACACGACCAACTCATGGGATCCACGATGCCGTCAATGACCACACGACCAGCGCGATCCGGAAGCCTGTGTGGGCCGTTAGACATGATTGAAATAACGATGAAGCGCTGGTAAGAACGCACATGTTAACGAGATATGCGCCAATGATTGAGCCATAGGACCCGGTGAACAGATTTCTGTGTAGTATAGTCAGCATGATAATCTGCCTGTCTTCCGCCAAAAGACGCACATCTTCGAGCCTTCCCCATCCAACACGTCCGCCATGAAAGCGAGGTCCCTTACCACTGTTGTTGTGCCCATGTACTTCAAGTCCTCGCCGACATTTTCCGCGCACATCGCTGCTTCAGCCTTCTTCAGTGCGACGAACTCACGCATCTGCCGCTCGAGCGCCACCTCGATCTCCGCCGTAGGATCGGCAGAGCCGTCTTTCGAGGAGAATGGCAAGGTGAAACTTTGCTCAAGCACAGTGTTGGCTTTGAAGAGTGCATAAGACGAATTAGGGAAGCATTTTACTTGGGGGCTGTTGATTCTGGTCGGGAAGGAAGGCGGAAACAGTTGGATACAAGTGACTCACATCGTGCGATGTATTCCTCGGGGGTCAAATCCAACGATATCCCACTCGTTAGCAAGATACTGTGCCAATCCAGGTGAGGCGCCCCATGTCCCTGGCACACCCGGTCCACCTGTCGGTCCATGTCATCAGCACCTCACTGTTAGATGGGCAACGTTTGAGCGCACCGGGGTTGACGAATACTGTTCCTTTCTTTGTCTGAGTCGCACGGACGCGGGAGATGAAAATGGTGGCGCTTCCAGAGGAGGGATTGAGGTAATCCTTGGGCACGCTGGGGACTGAATTGAGAATCGGAGAACACAAAACTCGAAGGTCAAAACGCACACAATCTGCCCGCATTCCTGTCCCGGGCGCTCACATTGCAGACTCCACGTCACGGTGCCAATAAGCGGTGTATGTCGGCGCTCCACCCGAGTTGAGGTGTTAAGGATGCCGATGGAGAGCAAAGCCGCAAAAACAAGCACCGCTTTCGCTGGCCAAGTTGAGGGTACCGGGGCCCCAAGCGGTGGAAGCGGTTGCTTTTCAAGCAGGGTCATGGTAGGAGGGAAGAGGAATGCGCAGCGCCAGCTGCCCAAAGTGCGCGGTCGCGGCGCGTGTGAAGATGAGGGTCGAAATTAAGCCATCCGATGGTCATTAGGTAAGCCGCGTCGGTCGCGAAAATTTGACGTGGGAACATCGCGGTTGTCAGTATGTCCAGACCGTCATAGAGATCATCACGTCAAGCGCGTAACGTCACCCCCGACTTTTTTTTCCCTTTCCCTCCGCCCCATGACCTTCCCCACGCTTCCCCTCGCTCAGCGCCTCTCCTACGAGACGCTGGGGCAAATCTTCCTGGTCCTTGTGGACTTGTCACCCGACTGGGCCCGGCTGCGTCCGTTAGCGGGCCCGCTCGCTTTGACCGGCGTGTGTGCTTCCTGGCGCGTTGTCGCGCTGTCGCTACCCATGCTTTGGAACAGCTTGGTTGTCGATTTCCTTCCCCCGGACAACCATCGCGTCCCCAGCCTCCGCTGGGTCGACTCGCGCTTTTGGATGGCGTATACTTGGCTGGCGCGGGGGCGGTCGCTAGGCCTCTGCTTGGACTTGAAAATCAGCTTGTGGAAGCCCACCGTGGAGCCCAAGGTGGAGATTCTGCTGCGACACTTTGCAAGCTCACTCGACATCCTTCGGCTGAGCACGGAAGGCAGCAGCCTGTCTTCAGAGAGGCGCAACGTGCGACTTGATTCCCCGAGTGGGTATCCTCGCCTGCGGGAGCTCGACCTCGCCATCAACAACGACTTCCAATGGCCACCTTCCTTTACCATCGCCTTCCCCCGCCTAGAGAGACTCTCCTTCCGTCCTCACATGCGTGCGAGCTCCTCCTACAAAAATCTCGCACCGGCAGACCTTCCAATCGAAAACTGGGGCCGAATTACACATTTACGGCTCGACATGTGCGGCGAAATTGACGAAATGTGCAAAACCGTCGAAAACTGCCCCCAACTACGAGGCCTGCACCTTGCTGGCTTTGGCATGGGGCCCCCCAGCGATCAGCCATTATCCCTTCCCTCCCTTACTTTGCTCAACATCGAGACCTCCAGTGGCTGGCCACTTGCACCGCTCCTCCGCTGGAAGCTACCAAAATTGCGCACCCTTTCTCTCGGCGAGGTCCGCGTCAACCAGCCACAACACATGATTACGTGGATTCAGGGCGTATTCCAGTCTGTCCCGTTCGAGCGCGTCACTTCCTTTGCCGTGGCATACAACTATACCACCCCGAACTTTTTCGAGCTCCTCTTGCCCACGCTTCCGCGCATGCGAAGGCTGCGCATCCCCTTTGACGCGGACTTCTGTTCCAAAATTGTCGACACCGCCAAACGGCTGCCGCTCGAGCAGCTTTGCATAAGCGTCGGCATTCGCCAGCAGCACCACGAGCTCGCTGGGCCGATCACGGAGGCAATGCGCGCGCTGACCGCGGCCCTCCATGCCGGCAAGTTTGGGCCGCGGATGAGTCCTGCGGCTATCATCTTCCTCGTCGAATGTTGGTACCCGCTGGACCCCGAGCCACAGGCACGCGTGGATCAGTTCCTCCGCGACGCCGGGCAGCTCGGCGTCACGGTGCACACGGGCCAGCCGAGCACGCTGCCGAAGCGTCTATTCCACGTATTCGACGCGTAATTTAGGATAGGTAATTATATCATCGCATTCCCGACCCGTAATTTCTCGGTAGTTTTCCTAGGTAATAAATGGTAATAAGGATCGGTCATCATCACCTGGCTACGGATCGGATCGGACCTCCTATCTACATCACCCTCTTCTTACACTCATGGCGCTATCGTCGCCCTTCCAGGGGCTCTACCCCGAGCTCATGGAGCAAATCTTCGCGCACACTACGCCACTTCTTGCATTCAACCAACTACAGCGGCTGCGAACTGTGTGCCGTGCATTCGAAGGCGCGTTGGCACCCGAATTCTTTGCGACATTCCAGCTCGTGATCGACAAGGATGGAGTGCTTGTAACAAGGGAGGACATGCTTGAAGCGATAGCCAGAGGCGAGACCGGGTGGGCAAGACATGCACGGACGCTCCGCGTCGTTGTTAACAACACGGGGAAATATGGGGCCAGTAAAGTCAATACCAGACTCTTGGAGTCTGCGCTGCGAGCACTACCAGCGACGCAATCCGCCAGGTGCGTTCCGTCTCATCCTACGCTCGCAAAGCCTGACCAGTTGCTCAAGCTTCCGCTTCACCACGCTCACCCTCCCCTCTCCCATCTTTTCTGTAATCCTTAGCCATCTCGCGATGACACCCGAATTCGTCTCCCTGCACGCAATGCTTAACTGCTCGTCCAACATCCGGTGGCGTCCATTTACTGCCCTCTTGGGAACTGCCCTCCTGGGATATGTACCCTGGCCTCATTTCCCTGGCCTGAAGACACTCTCGCTGGAGTGCAACGAAATATCCGACAACGCAGGCATGCTGGATCTCTGCGACGCACTAAAACGCGCAGGCTCTACGGGCCGCCTGACTGCGCTCTCCGTGCATGCCCCAGCCTTCACCAAATCTGCCATCCCCTCCAAAGTTCTCAGCCTCTCAGTGCTGCTCGGGCTTCTCCAGCCGGTGGGTCTGCAGCACCTCACGGTCAACCCCGCCCTCTTTAACACACTCTCCGCGGACTCCGCCGGCCTCCCGAAACTAGCCTCACTTTCGCAGCTTACCATCAGAGGTCTGTATCCCAGTGGCCTTCATGACCCGACGATGAATGACGGGGCATGGATGGCACTCGCGAAAGCCGGAGCGCGGATCAAGCGGCTGCGCGTTCCGGGGATTGACGACGGTCTGGCGAAGTATCTCACGACGTACAGTGGACTGGAGTTCATCGCCGTTGCGAGTGCGTTTGATGCGGGCCTTGGACTGCGATGGAGCGACGCACATAATGTCCATGACCCCGAGCTCGAGCAGCAGAAGATGCAGCGTCGTGCTGCCGACGTATTGCGCGTGGAGATGTTATACGACGCTTTTGTCGGTCACGCAGAGTCGCTGCGCGTGCTGTCCCTCCCAGCGCCGTACGCGGGTTGTTGGACCTTCCGGTCCCCAGTGGCCAAGGCTATCGGGATGCTGCGCGAGCTGCGTCTGCTGGTGATGAGCGTCGATATTGAGGCTATCCCCGATGCGATTTGGCCACAACCGGAGCATCGAGTGGTTATTGATGCAGACGGGGTGAATGCTGTGGTAATTGCACATATCCTGGCTCGCGTAATCAACTAGGCTAATCATTCGCAGGAATGCTTTGTCGATACCATCACGCGTCTGCCACACCTCACACATGCGGCACTTTTGAAAACTCTCGCCCCGGAACTGCGCTTCGCACGCTGCGGCAACCCAATCGACAACCACCAGAACAGGGCCCAGAAGGCCATCGCTACTGCGTTTGCGGAGCTCAAGCCCATGCCGGTATCCCCGTCCCAGGCTCGGAATGTGGGGACATCATCGCCGATCGTATACTCCGTCTCCAAGTTGTATTTTGCTCGGTTTGTGGAGGGAAAAGGCAAGTGGGAGGTGCTGCAATCGCTCCCTCACACCGGGGGTTGGAGTCACGACGATGGATTGCCAGCATTTGCAAGGGTCTGATTTAGCCTTTGATACTGTAACATTCCCCGGGGTGGATATTTTCCTGCATATTGTTATGATCTTGATTATCATTATCTTCATATAAAATTGTTTGATTTTATGCAGGGCTCACACAATACACCCACCAGTAACATCAGCTACAGATGATCCCTCTCCGAGTGTTGTTCATCGGCTCCATCTGTTTGATTTCTGTTTGTCAAGATTTAAAAAACGCAAACATGAACCTGTTTATGTATCAAATGTTTAAAACTACTCATTTATAAATGCTTTTGTTCCCACACTAAATATGAATATAATCATATAATATGCATTCCAGATATGATAGTATACTTACTCATATTCACCCATTGAGGAAGATAATATATTTGGAGTATATTATATTCATACTTGGCTGTAGATAATGAATATGATATGACTATATTCAAATATCACACAGGAATTACTCACAGCACCCTACAGGGTTCGACCCGCAGGAAATTGCTAACAGATTCAGATATTCTTATTGGATCTCAGTTATAATTGGGATATTGTTTAAACTTAGATAAACAATAGAGCAGATGGTTGAGATCGTGTGAGATTCTTGAGAGGAGCAATATGGCTCAACTCTCCCTAACTTGACTTGACTTGACTTAACCTAACTTGACTTAACCTAACCTGACATTTATCTTAACCTGATGATATGTGAAGTGTGACAAAACCCCACTCATGTGACAATGGTATTAGTCACACCCAGGGGGCTAATCTATTAATCTAGGGTTTTACAGGCCTCCTTATATACTACTCTCAAATTAATTACTAGCAACCTTTGAGCTGTAGGTGGAGACCTTTTATCAAATTCTGTATAAAGGCTGGGGCCCAGCTGAGGCTTGGCATGAGCTAGAGCTTCACTGGCACCAGACGTGAATATTAGCCAGAAGCCAGAAAAGCACCATAAACTAATTCAAAAGATTCTCCGAGAAGTCGGCCAGGAGGACGCAGGCTATCACATTAGTATTAGTGTGACTTGTTTGTTCATGTTTGTCCCCGACATTTACACTTGTTTGGCTGATGGAATTTCAACCAGATGGGACCTTGTGAAGCAAGGTAACATAATCCGTGATGATGTGACCTGATCCGCTGATCCGGTTCTAGAATGCTCTAGTTCAGGCGTCTGGAAGGTTCTGATATAGGTCCTGGGTCAGACTTACCAAATATAGTTGGTTCAGGTCAGAGTCTAGACTGGTCCCTGGTCTAGAGCAGGCCTAGACCTTGTGGCCGGGTGTATACAGATTTGATTCAAAGGTTTACAACATTTATTCTGAGATTCTCCATATGTCTGCATGACTATTGTGCATGAAAATGAATTTATGGGGTCCATATATGATTATTCATATAGTGGTCATATTACTGCCATCACAGATCCGTCAACACGCTCCTGACAGTTGCCCTGGGACCTTGCCTGGGACGCTGCCCAGGCCTTCTGTGCCTGACAGTGGCAGCTATGGACAAGCAGTATATAATCAGCTGCTACCTAGCAGGCAGATGCTTGGAGTTTCTTCTCTTTGGATCCTCCCGAGTACTATATATATGCAGCGCACACACACATTTGATGGCAATGTGTATGTGTTGCTAATTCAAATGAAAATGACATAGCTTATGGAGTAGAATGAAATAATAGAATAATTTGTAAGATGGATTGATCATTTGGATTGTGGCGCTGGCTGCGACGGTCGGGGTTTTACACCCCAGACCCCGACTAGGGTGTTGCCCTGGACCTACCCTGCCGGGGGCTTGGTTTCTTTTCCCTAAGGTGTTTGATGCAATATTCCTTTGGGATGACTTGGTTGCGGTGTCGGCTACGGCGGCTGGGGTTTTCCACCCCAGACCCAGACCAGGGCTTTGCCCCGGACCCCACGCTGCCACGGTCCGGGGCTACCGCGTGCTGCTTGCCAATTGTTTTGATGGGAAAATCACTTCTGTTGGTCACATCAAGTACCTGAGATATGATCAAATGTGCCGCAGGTCACCAATGTGCCGTTGATGCTCACATTTTCTGTAAGGGCAACCCTGGAGACTCCAACGAAAGCCTAGCAGGGGAGGATCCAAAGAGAAGAAACTCTAAGGGTCCGCCTGCTAGGGCGCCAACTATATACTGGTCGTCCGTAACTGCCGACATAGAGCGCAGAAGGCCTGAGCAGCGTCGCAGGCTCTGTCCCAAGGTGATCGTTGGGAGGGTCTTGACGGATCGGTGATTGTGCGGGCGAAGGAGGCCGTGGGACGATGGTCAGGGTGGGTCGGAGCATCCGAGGGGGCGCCAGTCGGATGTGCCTCGGATGCGCTCGGACGGTCCGAAGGAGGCCGAAGCAGGGGTTCCCCGGACATCATTTTCTGTGTGATTTCCTGGCTGATTAATCCAATGTGCCGCAGGTAGAAGCCAAGTGCCGTAGATATAATCAATATGAAAGACTTACAGAATGTGTATGTGTCCGCCGCAAGTATGTTATCCTAGATCCTCCCCTGCTAGGTCAGCTTCATTTGTATTTGCTTACCAATGTTCACACTTTGGATCCTCCCCTGTTGGACCTTGATCTCAGGCCTCCAGGGTTGCCCTTACAGTAATTCTATAGGAAAATCCATGGCCTTGATTTGGATACAAACTGCTGACCACATTTGACCCTGTTTACCACAAAAAACTCTTACTTCAGGCCCCTGTTTTTGCCCAAATCTCTGCTGTGATTACCCCCAATTTATCATATTTAAGGTGATTTGTTAGATATCATGCTTACTCATCATCATCATAAGTAACAGGTAATTTTTTGAGGACAAGCTTTGTTGGGTTGGTCACTATTGGTGAACTCAGATGCTTCAGCATGATTGACCTTTGCTTACTGACAAACTTGGTTTAGAGAAATTGTGCTGCCCTAGAGAGATACACACACCTTTTTATTGGCCTTAGATGTGGTCTTTTTGTGCTTGGTCATTGAAAACAGGGAGAGAAATGCTTATCACAGTGTTACTTGACACGAGACAATGAGAACGACAACAAACGCCAACACTATTCTTCAGGGAATTGTCAGCAGTACCTTCCCAATACTATTCACTTGCTCTCTGTTTTTATTCTGGCCCGATAGCTGTTGTGATTGTGAAGATATGGATGTTTGTCTGCCGGAAACCAGGCATTTCCCAATATCATTCATTTGTTGGTCAATTCTCTTAGAAAATGATACTATTGGAATTGTGCTTGTCGAGCACATTCTAAATATACCAAAATTTATCATAAAATATATAGAAAACAGCCGTAAGTGTTACTTTGTGTCTGGCACCATAATTTTAAAAGAGGTTTCAGAATGCTTCAAGATGAAAATAAAAAATGATTTTCAGCACTCAACAAAATCTAACTGAAGCTGCTTTGAACAGCAGGCAGACCCCTTGAATTTCTTCTCTTTGGATCCTCCCCTGCTATGACCTTGATCTCAGGCCTCCAGGGTTGCCCTTGCACTTTGAATCTTCAGAAGGTGATTACTTACTATGATATATATCTGATTTCACTAAACTGCTGTCTGATACCCTGTAATTCAACTTGACAAGGGGGAGGTACAATAGTATTAGTGGATATGATGCATACTATGGTATCTGAAATCTGCATACATATTCCATCAGCATTAGCTGTGACTGTGTGTAAAAGTTGCGCGAGGCTGAAATGTCACGCAGCTGAAAATAAAATGTGTCGCTAGCAATGTGCGTGATTTTTCTGCAAGGTTTGACATAATTTTTATTGCGCTACCAAAAATGTGTGAAGAAATTGCGCAAAACACCAAAAATGTAGAAATATATGTCGGGGGAATATTTCCCTAAAGTGACAACCATACGTATGGACTGGTAAATCGGGCCCAGGCGGCACTGGTTGAGTGTTAAGAGGTGCCAGGCTTCGAGATGAAAATAAAAAATGGGGCGGCTCTAGCAATCGAACAGACGCCGCTTTGAACAGCGCCGATCAAAGTCATGAAACGAGTTACGACGGCGCCGCGCATCAGGCAACCGCTTCCTTCCTTCGATCAAATGGCGCAACGTCTCGCAATGTCCGTGAAATTTGCAAAGACCGTCAAGACGCGGACCCTGGGGGGACAGCGAGTGCGCTGTGCAGCTGCGCTCCAGCGTCGCGGGGTGCGGCGCTGACGGTGCGGTGAAACGCCCGCCACGCCCGTGATGTGATGCTGATCGGCGGTGTCACCGCCACGTCGTGATTCTTAAGCGCGGCCCTGGCGTTATTGTCTCCCACCTCTTCTTCTCTTCTCCCTCACGATGCGCACGACCCCCTTCACCACCATCCTCCTCTTCGCCTCCCTCGCCTCTGCTGCGATCCAGTGCGCCCCGACGGACAAGGACGGCACCCCGCTGCAGTCGTCGGAGGGCGAGGGCAACTTTGTGCGGTGCACATATGAGGGCGCGGGCCCGTGCGAGTACTTCCCCGCCAACGGCAGCTTCTCCAGCGGGTCCAGCCAGTGTCCCGCCGGCATCGCGCAGGACACAAGCAACACGTGCGTCGTCACATGGCTCCCTTCTTTCCTTGTTGCTGACGAGTAGTGTAGGACGCAGGAGGTCTCCAGCGTCGGGTCAGGTGGCGCCCAGCAGAGCCCACCGGCGTCGGGCAGCCCGGCGACGTTCAGCAGCCCGCCCATCACGCTGCAGTCCACCCGCCCGCCCGGCTCGTCCTCCACGGCCCCGCCCCCACCACCACCTGTCTCTTCTCCCCGGCCCAGCGGCAGTCCCGCCGGAAGCCCCGCGCCCTCCAGTTCTAGCACCGGCGCCGCAGCCCCCACATCCGTCGCCAACTCCGCCGGCGCGATCGTCTTCGTCGGCGGGGCCCTCCTAGGCGCGTGGTTGCTCTGAGCGACGGGCCTTGGCAAAATATTATTGATGGCAGGCGGGCCCGGGTCTCGGATGTGGGTATGCGCCGTCTGGACGATGTAGCCCGCATGTTTTACGTTCATGAATAACTTATCTGCGCTTCTCCTGGGCTGATCTCGTCTTTTGAGGTGTGCTACAAGTGCAGCAACTGACACTAGTGCTAGCGCTATACTGACAACGACCAGTCCGCCGCTCGCTCGATCCGAGGTCTGCGCTTATATCCCCATCATGCATATACTTTTTCTGCGCTTTGCCTCCCTCGCATGATTTCGCGGCCATCCGTGCGCGGCCCCCCACAAGCCCGCTGTTCACCCTTGTGCACCCACCAGACGTCAATCTAAGATCAGCAGGTGGTGGGTCTGTGGTCGACGCAGGCCGGGTGGTCGCAGAAGGCCATGCTTTGCTTTTTCTTTTCACATCTTGGTTTGTTGTGCGCTGAGTGCGAGACCATAACCACCATACCACCGGCTTCGCGATTCTCAGTGATGCTGTGCTTTTGTTATACGATTCTGCAGCCATCTTCAGGCGTGTGCCGCGGCCGGCACCAAGTTCCAACAGCCCACTGCGCACCCCGGTGCACCCACCTCCGTTCACGATCAACTTCGCTGGCATGTGGGTCCGCGGTCGACACAGGCCGGGTGGGCGTAATGCCAACGTGCAACTGTGAATTCCTTTTTTCTCTGGCTCAGTGCCAGTGGTCAACCGGTTCCGCATGTCGCCATCGTCAGATCCCTCTGCTTACCGCAGCGCGGATTACCCCTGTCGAACATACATAGGTACTGCAAAATGCCAGAGCACAGCCCACTGGCACCTTGGTGCACCCACCATGCATACGTTGCTACGCATTCCGGCAGCTGGGGCCGCGGTCGACGCAGGCCGGTGTGGTAGCTGGACCCAACCGCGTGTGGTCGCTCGCTGATACTATCGATCGTGTGACTACGTGACACGATCCGTCTACTGATCCGGCGTCGGCCTCCCATCACAGGTGCCCCCTTTTTAAAATGGCGGCGTCCTCGTCGCCTGCGTCGCCTGCGTGTCCTCGATCCGCCTCAACTCAGCTTCCGTGTCCGCTACTCTTTTCCGCTCGGCCATCTCGCCCTCCCTTTCCTTCGCCACCCTTTGTGTTTCGTCATAGCCTTTCTTCACCTGGATGTTCCGTAGTGCGCTAATAAACTCGTTTTGCTCCTTTGCCAAGTCCGTTCCGCTCCTTGGTGAAAATCTTCTTAGTCTTCTCGCGCTGTAATATCCCGATACTGCCACCCCTTCCAGCGTCTCCAACTCGTAAGAGTTTACCCTTCTCGTTCTTACCCTGTGTGGATCACTCCACGGCCCTTGGATTTTGCGGTCAGCGCTCAGAGTCTTCATGCGGGCTGTGTCGTATACCTGCACCAGCTCTCCTTCTTCAAACTCCACCTCGCCTGCCCTCGAGTCCTTGACTGCTTTATCGAATAACGCCTTACGCTTGTTTGCGTGGTTTAGCCGGTTGTCGTAGGCGTCTAAGCGTTGCTGCTCCGCATATCTCATATGGGTGTGTATGTCGTACTCTGATGGTTGCGTTGTTGCTACGAGGTGTGGGTGTTGGCGGTGTATTAACCGCTCTTGCGAATAGGATTTCTTTTGGCGTGAATCTGATGGACGGCAGTATTCGCTGATTGAGAATGTGCAATGCTTGCCTGAAATACCTCGGCCACGTCGCCGGCAGGTCTTCTGCTCTCGTGTTCCTCCAGCCGTCTTCCCCCAGTTTCGGTGCACACAGTCGCGCAAGCACGAATATGAGTAGCTTGTTAGTACCTTCCACTAACCCGTTTACCCATGGTGAATATTTTGGCACTGGCATAAACTGCGTTCCCCACTTGTCGCAAGTTGCTTTGACCGCCTTGTTGACAAAGTGCGACCCGTTGTCTACCATCAGCGTCTCGGCGGGTAGATAGTCTCGGAATAAGTTGTCCAACACCTCGACCGTGTTCCCCCCCGTCCCCGCGCCCTTGTATATTTCACCCCATACGTGTTGCGATGCCACATCGATGTAGAGCCCAGTTGTCTTGAACCCATCCTCACTCAATGGCAACGTCATGTAGTCTGCGGCTATTAGTTCGAAGGGGTGTCGTCGCGTTATTGGTTTCAGTAAGGCATGGATCGCTGTCGGGCCGAAGTTCTTGCACTCTGCGCATTCCCGGATTGCCGCAATGATCGAATCGTCCATCTTGGGGCTGTGAAACTTGTCCATGAGTGCAATTTTAATGTGATCACGATGGAAATGTCCCCCTTTTGCGTGCACCGTTGCTGCTTCCTGTTTGGCCTCCTCCCTCGTAATACATTCCCTTCTTGCCCTCGCCCTACCTCCTGAGGTTCCCCCCAAACGCCAGAGTTTCCGTTCCTCGATGAAATATTGCGAGGCGCGATGTCGCGCCCTTTTGCGTTCTCGTTCGCTTGTCCCGAAGTCTAGTTCCGTGATAGCACCGATTACCTCCAAGTACACCGGCTCCTTCTTGAACCTTTCTCTGAGTTCGGCTGTTCCCTCCGGCACTGGTATTACCAGGTAGTCCCCATCCGCTCTTCCCACTGTGAATACATTGTTCACAATTCCCGCCCTCGCTTCCCAGTCCGGAGATACTGTCCATTCGCTTCCGTCGTGATTTCCTTTGGGTTTCCCTTCGTCTGCCCTCGACAACGCGTCTGCAACCACATTATTCTTGCCCTTGATGTGCTCTGCCCCGACGATGTTGTACCCCATAATGCCGTCTCTCCAACGAGTATGCGTGACGTTGAGCTTTTCATTGACCATTATGTCGCGTAGGGCTTGGCAATCGGTTTCTAGCTTGATTGGTTGACCCCAGATGATGTCCGAGAATTTATCTAGCGAAAATTTCAGTGCTGCGAATTCAAGCAGATGCGGCTGATATCTCTCCTCAGATGATGAGGTCCTCTTTGACGCGAACACTATTGGGTGGCGTCGTACTACCTCTTTTCCCGCCCGGTAGTATCGTCGCCATCTTCTGTGACAGCATTCCCGCAAATGCCTCCTTGCTTCCGTCGGTTGTCACGATAAACGGGTATTCTTGCACCGTTTCATAGTTTGGAGCGCGTAGTACCGGTTCGCTCAACAACGTGTCCTTCAACTTGATGAACGTTTTGGTGTGTTGTTCCGTCCAGACCGGCGCCAGCTTGAAGGCCTTCATCGTTGCTTGATACACCGGCTTCTTGGCACCTGTTGGTATCTTGACTTTAGCCAGCAGGTCTCGTAGTGGTTTTTCCAACTTAGCGTAGTTCTTGATCAAGTCCCTAAAATACCCTGTTAATCCCAGGAAGGCGCTCAAGTTTGCTGCGTCCTCCGGTTTCTCCCATCGCACGATGGCTGTTAACTTGGCAGGGTCCGGTGACACTCCGTTTGGACCGACCCGCGCGCCTGCGAATATGGCTTCTGTCATGAAGAGCTTAGTCTTTGCTGCTGACAGCGAGAGTTCCTCCTCTCGCATCCTGGTGAATATCCGCCTCAGCTTCCTCATCATCTCCTCAAAACTGTCCGCTGCCGACCCACTGTCGTCCACAAACAGCTCCATGATCCTTTCGACCAGCAGATCCGACAATTTCGTTGCCGCCATGTGCGAGAATTCTGTCGGCGCGCGTCTGTCAAGCCAAACGGCATACGCATGTACGCGTAGTAGCCTTGGCCCGGTACAAACATCACGATGTATGGTTGTATATCCTCCGCTATCTGTACAGCAAAGAACCCAGATGCAAAGTCGAACACTGACACGTACCTATGTCCTGATAGCCGCCTTTGTTTCTCGCGTATGTCACCTTGAGGCATTGGAACGACCTTTAACAACTCGTTGAGCTCGTGGAAGTTCTGACAGATCCGCCATTTCGGTTGCTTCTTGGTGTCAGATTTTTGATCCGTGTTTCCCGTTCTTGGTGGCAGATCGTAGAGCGGTGGAAACCCTTCTTTAACACATTCGTCGTTCAGCGTGTGCTGGAGTTCTTCCAGTGTCATTCCTCCTCCGTCGTGCTCCTTCTGCGGGAGCTTTATCGGTGAGACGCATTTGACGTCCCTGGGGTGGATCGGTCTGATTATGCCCGCTTCCTCCAACAGCTTGACTTGTTCTCTTAGGTACTGCGCTTGCGGTTGCGACAAGGGCTTTTGGTGTATTTTGGTGCTGAACTGGTGGTCCTTGGGAATATTCGGTGCGTATTCGGCGTCTTTTACTGCATTCACCTCGCTTACTGCCAATGCGAAGATGTCCGCAAACTCCGCCACCAAATCCTCGATCTCTCCCCTCTCCTTCGCGGTCACGTCTGGTCCTATTTCCACCGCCTTCAGGATTCGTTCCACTCTGGCTGGGTTAAAGGGGTCTGTTTTGCGAGTGAAGATGTTGGTTGTGTTGGGTTTTTGGTGCGTCTTTTCGTTTTCTGTCTCCACGGTTTGTATCTCCCGCACTGGTCCTTCTTCCTCTTCGTCCTCGTTCATTCCCAACGTCTCCATTGCCTCTCTAGCAATGGCCCTTGCCGTCTCCACCTCTCTTCCCTCCTCTTCGATCTCTGCTGTTTCCTCTTCATCATCTTCTTCCCGCTCAGTCCATGTTCCTTCCTCCTCCTCCTCCTCATCCATGCTTCTCTCCGGTTCCACCTTCTGTACCTGTGCACCTGTTAATCCCACATATCTCTTCTAATTAGAAGTGAGGCTACGCTGGGGTCTCAATTCTAATTAGAAGAGATGACTGCAAAATAGCTATGCTGCAATAATTCTCAAATATCTTGCTACAGCATAGGCTCTAAGTCTCTCTCTATGCTACCAAGTCCTATCCTATGCTGCTATAACTGCTATAATTCTCCTAGTATCTAGGTCTAAGTCCAAGTGTGACAAAATCGTGCATTTGTCACGTTTATCACTCTGTGTGACATGAGTAACATCCACCCCAAGAAGGAAATTTTCCAGGTAAGTAGCTCAAAAGTGACTGGTAGTTACATATCTCACAAAAATG